AAGGTAATATTTCAACAAGGAAATGGAAAAAATAGCAAATATAACACACATATTTTTATTGTTATCATTTTGATATATTTATATACATAGTAAAAATGTGCTAAGTTCAAGCTGGTTCAAAATACAATACTTTTAACTTATAAAAAATACAATGCTGTTAACTTATCAGAATATATATATTTATTATTTAACATACATGTAGCTACTTTTCCGTTTGATATGATGAGAGGGGGTGGGGGTGGGGGGTGGGTGGGATCCCTTTAATCTGCTACTGGTATATTTATTTACAGTTTGTCTTCTCTGGACGCAAAAGATATACTTTTGGCAATTAAATCAATAAGTAGTATATCAATAGAGGTTACTATTATTAATAATCTGAATAACAACAGTAAGAGACAGTCTAACTTGTATTTCCGAGTTGACCATTCTCAAATCTTTGCAGAAAATATTTTTCTTTCAACAACATTTTTTACCAAAATAACATCAAATGTAAATGCGATTTAACGGAATGAAATAAAAAAATAAATGTTGTTTAAAAAACATGTGTATGCATATTTCCTTAAGAATACAATTATAACATGTACCAGTATATTTTGAGCTCTCAAACATTCCTTTAGGAAAACATTACACATGCAGGGTGTATATTAATGCTATGCATGCGTGTACCCCGTGCCCTGACTGAAACACTGGATCATGCATTATTCAGAACTGCTTTAAGCTCTTATTGTATTCCACAGTGACGAGAAGCAATCAGAAAGCGATACAAACTCTAGTCTACATTTCACTTAAAGAAATAAAAACATGCTATCAAACTTTTCTTCCAACGAACACGCACACAGTGTCTGAAATATGTAAATGTATTGATTATTTCAATATATACTACGATGTTTAGATTAATCTTACCTTCAACCATTAGTAGATAATTGACATCTCAAAGAAAGCAATGCAATAAGGAGAACTGTGTTGCTGAAAAACATATTTTCTCGCACTTACTGCTGCATTCACTTCTGTGCAAAGGTTTAATTGACCACATTGCTCTATTGTCAGAAGTTATGAAGAGAATTTGGTGTTTTCTTTTTGGTGTAATAAAAGATTGAGTGCATTTTTTTCAAGGTCCGATGAAGAATTCAAAAGATTGGCATTTACACCAAAAGTATACGTTTGAAGTTATACTTTGTGCAAGACTTAACTGGATTTACTTCCCTTTGTTCTTTGCTGCAGAAAAATGGAAATAAAATCGAGAGGGTCAAGAGAAATAAATATTAATAAATGCGGATCACAGAGAAAGGGTATTTTAAGTGAGGTATGAACAGATGAGATGAATAGGAGTTCGAATGACATTGATAAAAAAAAAGAAGAAAATCCTTACACACTGTCTGTATCCGTGTACAATGATTTAATACAAGTTCCAGGCCCGTAGGAAGCAATTTCATCAAATTACATTTTCAGTTGGGGAAGGGAGGGGGTACTACCAAGCAAATATTCCTTGCCAAGCAAAAAAAAAAAAGTCATAAGACGTTATTATTGAGGGGTCACATGCATAAAGTAGCTATGTTTTCTTTAGTATACTATACATTGGCAAATTAGAGGGGGGGGGGGTGTCCCCGTGTCATGGGGCTTTGAGTTCACGTAAAAAATCTATGGATAAATACTTAGTGGAATATTTTTAACAAAAAATAGTTTTGATAGTTAGTAATAATTAAGGTAGGAAAATCATTGCCAAACCGAAGAAAGAGACAATGAAGCTTAAATTCAATTTCAATTCAGTTTATTGACATCACCATATTGGCATACAGTCAAAATAAGAATCAAATGACAGATAACAGAAAAAAAGAGAAGAATATAATTATAACATAATTGCATGCAATTCAATTTTACACAGTTCCTTATAGACCTTGGGATAGTTTCCTCTGCATAAAGCATTTATCTAAGTAGATACATAAACGTTTTGTAGTATTAAAATCACATGGGTTTACAATTTCTTTTATGGGATCAGTACCACAGTATAATTTATCATCAAAAATATCACAATATTGAAATCGAAGATTGTCATACACAGGACAGTAAAGTACAAAGTTTTTCGTTTTCAACCAATAATTTACAAGCATAGCATAAACGTTTTTCCTTAGGGATTATTGGTTCACAGTATCTACCTGTTTCAATAAATTATAATTAGTACAAGAAATTTACTTGCAAAATTATAATTGACAATGACCTTCTCTTTCTTTTGAACAGATAGGAGTTTCCTCCTTTATACTGCATTTTTTCTGAGTTTCAGAACATTACAATTATAAATTGTCAACATCGCAACTTTAAAATTATTAAAAAGATTTCAGCATTTTTGGACTAGATTCGGTTTTGGGTTCCGAAATTTAGCATTAAAAGTGGGACCGGGTTTTAACCATGCATATCTCCAAGGAGTCATGGACTTTTTTTCATGCTTTTCATTTTATTTAATAAATGTTCTCAATTTTGTCAAAAAAAAAGAATTTTTCACCGGGATTCCATTATGTCAGATTAAAAAAAAACAACTTAACTTTACTTGGTACGAAGCTAATACCCAGCTGCTGATTATAATTATACTGCAGTTTCAATTCAAGAAAAACTAGAAATATGTCCATAGGACATGAATGCCCCGCCGAGGGTATATTAGTAACGCAACATTTTAACACAAATTGAGAAAAGTGAGGTCAAAGGAAAGGTCAAGGTGAAAAAATATTGATGCAGTTGAATAGCTTACATCAGTATGTATCAACATATGAAGTTTGATTACACTATCTTGAATGGTATCTTTAAAACTGAGCTAAACACTAATTTAAGAAAAGTGAGGTCAAGGTCAAAAGAAAGGTCAAGGTCAAAAAATGTTGATGCAGTTAAATAGTTTACATCAGTATGTATCAGCATATGAAGTTTGATTACACTATCTTGAATGGTATCTTTAAAACTGAGCTAAACACTAATTTAAGAAAAGTGAGGTCAAGGTCAAAGGAAAGGTCAAGGTTAAAAAATGTTGATGCAGTTGCATAGCTCTCATCAATATCTATCAGCATATGAAATTTGATAAAAATATCTTGGATAGTTTCTTTGAAACTGAGCTTTGAACAGAGCTAAACGCAAAGTGTGACGGAAAGACAGACGGAAGGACGGAAGGCGGACATGACAAACACTATATGCCCCGGCCATATTCATGGCGGGGCATAAGAATGAATATGTTTTCTTCGCACATTATATTGTCAATCGTCTCTCGTACACTGTGTAGATAAATGATCGTGAAAAACTCTTAATACTGCGTCTAGAAACACGATTAAGTAAATCTGAACTCCATAAAAACATTACATTTTAGTTAATTTAAACATGGCATTAAGAACGGTGTTATTTTCAACGGTTCTAATAGAGGATTTCTCGTGTAAATAATTTCAAAGTTTCTCTCTCTAAACTTAAGATTACATTCTATTCGAAGAATCAGAAAAAAAGTAGACAAGGTCCATTAACACAGGAATGTAACCCATCCTTATAAAATCCTTCTCCGGTAATGGAGTCTCCTGTATGTTTTCGTTAAATAAACTTAAAACAACGTCATATGAGAAGAGACACTCCCATTAAGGAGAGTGATTTAACATAAATATATACGAGAAGTCAATTTTAGCTTTTTACAGGTAAACTTTAAAATGACAATTTTAGGTCAGATCATCTTGTTAATTGAATCTGTACACTTTAACATTACATCAGGAAAATGTGTATCAAATTTATGCAGTTCCGTTGTATATCAAAGAAACACAACTGCTTATTTTTGTTCCCTTAAAACGTGATTTGATATAGAACGTTATTGAATATTCGGCCCACGAGCCACAACATTCACCTGAGCTAAGTATCGCTTAGTTATAACTTTGAAGCTTCGAGTCAAGAGTCTCTGGACTGGTGGTTTAACACACACACACATACACACCCTCACACACACACACACAGAGAGAAAGAGAGAGAGAGAGAATTATTTTGATAATTGTGAATCAACAAACTGCAGTAAGAGATTTATCAGATGCGCGCACCGAGTCATCCGCACATTTTGAGGACTCTCCCGGACATTTATAGATAATGTCCCTCCTGTTTTGGGAATGTTAGTTCGGTCTAGACTGATAAACGAGAAATTAAAAGATCCTGTTTGAGTGTACATCCCGCTTATATCTATATCGCCACCTTGAAATGTTTGGAAAATACTTCAGTCACCGTGAAATTAACTTGTACCGCGGTGTCATCCTCTCATTTTTCCCGTTTCTAAAAAAAGGAAACACATATACACCACGTGCACTAACTGACTAGTTTTCGGACAATGCCGTTTGCTTAATTAATAAAAATGGATGTCAAATGATTTCGACTTAATTCCAGCTTTATGATATAAGTAATTCTCAAATAGCATAGGTACATGTATATTTGTTAAAAAATGCAAAATTAATTTTGAACACAATTTTTGTCGATAAATATAATAGATCTGCATTTATTTTATTCGATTTCAAGGATAATAAATTAAGCGAAAACTGCTTTTAGACATTAAGTTAGCATAATATTGTACATTACATACCATAACATTTATTTCTGAGTTTGCTTAATGCTTGTTAAACGATGATGTAACTTTTATAAACCCTTTATATCCTAGATACCAACCGATTACCGATTCACCGTGTACCGTCGATCTTCATAAATATTAATGACATAATCTCATATCCTAGCTGGTATTATTACAAGGACAAAGGGGAAAAAAAGACCAGCTTTTGTGCTTAAATGAGTTTAACACTATCGGAAGTAAGATAACGCACTATAAGCCTTTGTTTGAATAAGATGGGATGCATTTAGTCACATATTGCCAACGCTATCTTAGAACACGCCCCCTTCTATTTTTTTCTTTTTACTACACATCGACTTTTGACCTTTCTGCGTCGTTCCTTCCTTTGACCGTTGTATCACAATACATTTTTATTTAAATGGCCTTTAAATTTGTGTATGAAGACTGCACATAACTTCGTCTGTTCAAAGTTAACACCACTCTAAACATACCGGAAATATTGTTGAAGAGCGGAAGAAACACATGTTTAACATAGGGAACTAAAAGTGAAAATTATGGGAAAATATCTATCGATCTGTGTACATGTGCGATGATCGGATTATATTTTAAACAGATTCTGTACGTATCGAATCTGTATTTACAAAGGATGGAACTCAAAGTTTTTTCTAATCTGAAAGGTAACTATTGTGAAATAACGTATGTATACGTACAGTTTATAGTCACTACTATTGAATAGTTCAATATTGTCTAAAGCATTTCCGAAAAATCGATATTTGAATGATTTAGCTGGCTTGTTTATCTATCAATTCATTCAACTTTCCAGACGCTATCTGATTTAAGTTGAAATTATTTAAGGTGAGGTGTTTTGTCGGTCAACCCCATGGAATTCAGAGGTTTAATTTATATGAAGGATATGAAAATTTAAATCAAAAAGGCTGTATAATATAACATGTATATAACCAGTCAACAGCCCGAATCAAGAAACTCTATACACTGATCTTGCACATATTGTGTTGTGTTTTAGTATGCGGGTTGCCTTTTACATTGTTGTTACTTATTAGCGAGATCGTTGTCTGATAACGTCTGCATTGTTTCTTCAAGAAGGAAAAAAAACACTGTTCCTCTCCTGAATGAATATGTTTTCTGTTAGGAGATGCTGTGTTACTTAAACTCTATCGGTAAGATAAACCTAAATAATGTCTGTGTTTAGTAAACTGAAAGTTGTATATAGACGGAACTAGTAAGACTATATAGATTATGTACTAAATATGTTAAAATTTAGTTTTCATTAAATTTTCATCTTATTAAAGACATGTAAAATAAGAGTGAGATCGTTAAAGAATAAATAACAGATTCCCTATTGCCTCCCTCTCCCAATTTACCCACCAAACCCTGACCCCTCCCTTTTCTGAACGCAATAACCTCAGTACAGCAGATGCCTTCTGTTGTTATAAGTAAATCTCGAATCTACGGCTTAGCTTATTTATTACAAGGGAACATGAAGATGCAGGTTTCAAAGCCCGGTGTCATGCTTAGTCACGTTCAAACATTTTGCTTCGTGTGTGGGAGAGCAAGGGAGAGAGAGGAACTGGTTTAAAAACAGGGAAGGATGTCTAAGACAAAGTTTTCAACTCCATATTTATAAATGACAAGGCGGATTCAGCTTTATTTTGTTTCGGTTTGTTATTTTTTTTTTCGGGGGGGGGGGATTCGAACATATACTGCTTATAGTTGTCTGTATATAGTTAAGCTATCACTATGGAAAACCCGTACATTCTCACATAGTAATTGCATCCCTGCATAAAATTTGGGTCCTGCAGTATTTCATAATTTACATTGTAGACAATAATCCCCTAAATGAAACCTTTTGGTACATGTAATCCCTCCCAGATTATGAAATATAATGATGTTTACATTTAGATAATAGTAGTGTGACACCTTTATGACCGAACTCTTTAAAAAGGCGTGCACTCTTTTAACCGAGACAGCCATGTTTAAATTGAAGACTGTCATTCGGTTCCAACAGCTGAAAAATGGGGGTTGAATGACCCTGATGCGTAGAGATTTAATCCCATTTTGTTAACATTATTTATTCATGACCCCACCCCTTCCCATGTAATGTGGATATCCATTTAATACGCAAGCGAGAATACTACAGAACTGCATTGTCATGTTATGTTATGTTTGTGCTATTTAAGTCTTTTCCTGTAATTTTTAACTTTCAATACCGATAGGTGTCCACCTTAGGGTACTTCAAATTTAAAGTAGGCGTCCATAATAAAAATCGAAAGATAAAGCTTATGAAGAAGACATACTACTTTATGTTTGAATAAAATTAGGGCAAATTTTGTTTCAAGTACCATATTGTAAGCCAGAGGTGACAAAGAGCATTTCAAAAATTGTAATTAAGAGATAGGGCATTGTATACCAAAGTAAAGAGGTCTCCAGCTCCTAATATACACGTAAGCTAAATAGCCCACCGAGATCTCGTAAAAAATTGTAGGGGAGGCAGAGTCTGCATTCAGTTAACTCTTCTCTGGTACCTTATCAGAAACATGTATGCGTGACAAAACAGTCAGAATAGAGAGAGACAGATGTAGGGAAACTTTGAATGGGAACGTATAGATTCAATATTAAATGTTCCTAAATTGATCTCGTATCGCTGCATAGACTATGCCGTCAGTGGATCACATTTGTCTTTTTTTTTTTTTTTTTTTTGATAATAATTTAAATAAGAGTGAGGAATACCATGATCACAATTTGATATTATTACAATCAGTGTAGACAGTGTATGGACACTGGGATGGCGATTGTAACTTTTGATAAGTTATAACAATCAGTGTATGGACACTGAGGTCACGAGTGTTACTTTTGATAAGTTATTACAATCAGTGTATGGACACTGGGGTCACGATTGTAACTTTTGATAAGTTATTACAATCAGTGTATGGACACTGGGGTCACGATTGTAACTTTTGATAAGTTATTACAATCAGTGTATGGACACTGGGGTCACGATTGTAACTTTTGATAAGTTATTACAATCAGTGTATTTACACTGAGATCACGATTGTAACTTTTGATAAGTTTGTTTAATCAGTGTGGGGACACTAATATCATAGACCTGACTTTTTGCAGGTCATTACAATCGGAATAGGAATGAAAAGATCACGGTTGTAACCTGAAATAAGTTATTACATTCAGTGTGAAGACAAAAAGATCATGACTGTAACTTTTAATACATGTTTAAAATTATTACAATCAGCTTGAGGATAAAAATATCACGACTGTAACTTTTAATACATGTAAATTATTACAATCAGTGTTAAATATGGATATAACGAACTGTAATCAAGCTGAATAGTCTGTTAAAACAATGAAAAATCGGTAGCACAGCAAACACGGACCTAGAAAAAAAATAACTTGCATATATGAGCAGAAATATGCCAGCATAAATCCCTTCGTAGCTGGCGTATTTTCTCTTTAAACCATAGGATAATTTTCCAAATTTGTCTTTTGACACGTGTGAGCATTGTGGCTTTGCATGGGCCTTGCATTTATTAAGTATCAATTAATTTGAACAACAGGAAATGTTTTTTCGCCGCCTCTTGACATAGTGCGTGTAACTTTCGATGTTTTAAGTGTATCAGCTTGTTAGGGTCAGATTACATATCTTTAGACAGTTACGTCCTTCTTTCTGTGAAAAAGGCTTTCTATTGTCATTTCTTTATCCTTTGAGTATATAAATACGCTTTTATGCTGTGTAATTTCGAAAATCCGTAGGCCTGTATAAATATAATGAGGCATCAACCTAACTTAATTCATTTGATTATATTATAAATAAATATATAATATGAACACAAGTATATGAAAATTATACAGTCATTTTACAAACGTTAAACGAAAACCAAAAAAAAAAAAAAAAAAACATTTTATATTTTTAAGCCCGGTTCAATATCCCTTTGTAAAATTTTGCCATAAGTAATGAAAAGAAATATAAACTGAAATTAAAATTCGAATAATATCAGCATACATTGCTGGGCACAATTTGACAAAGATAGCCTCTTAACTTGATTTTTAAGGGGAATAATAATCATTAATGCCAATTAGAGTTATCTCCCATGTGAGAGGGTCAATCGACCTTAATTTTTACAGCTGGCACGTTTTTCCTGAAGACGAAAGAATCAGTTTTGAATGTAATGACTGATAAGTCAGAAATTTTGTACACTACAAGCTTTAAGGTCTCCATGATGAAAGCTGAATATTGACTTTGAATCCTTATTTCAAAGTTCTGCTTTAATCCCGAGTAGCTTCCTAAAGAAAGTATATACATATTGATTCTTCTTCATCTTTCACAGCTCCTTTTATTCCGGATTCTTCGTGTTGGTTGGGCCTTTAAATCTACAGCAAAGTTGTGTTGAGGAAGCATATGATAGTTTTGATGTTTAATTTTACTATCAACAAGGGAATAATGGAGGATGAGAAATATCGATCAGTGTATGCGCTCTTCCTTTTCCAGTCGAGTTTTTGCGACATATTAGTTTCACAAATTTGATTAGAAATTAACTTTTAATCTTCTTGCTAAACAACATAAAGACCAGCTTAAAACTTTTCCATGCCGGTAGTAGTGAACACAGGATGAACCTACAACACAGGCCTTCAGATCACTTTGATCTGACCGACATATATATATTTTTTTATACATTGTACTTGAAAGGACAAGGTATGATAACAGCCCAATTTGGTCCCTTAGTGATGTAAAAATCAAAACACAGTAAAAGTTATGATAGCTTGCAGTTAAGAACTTCAAATGTTGATTGTTTTAAACCCAACGATAATGTTGATTCAAAGGGACAGATAGGCCAAAGATGGTGCCAAAGTTGGACATTTTTCCAAATTTCCTCAATTCTGGTGGAATTTTGTCGAATTTGAGATACTTTCCACTCTGAGAAACAAAGAGCACAAGCTTGCCTATCTGAGATTTTTATACACAAGAAGTATCTGATACTAGTGCACAAAATATATAAATTTTGTAGATAGGCAAATGTGCTCTGTGTTTTCTGAAACACAATGTGATATAAAATTGATGAAAATTTGTATAAAAATTCGGAAAATGACATATTTTGTGACCTTCCTGTGACCTTTGTGTACCACATAAGTTAGAATCAATACTCATTTTGTAAGAGGAATGACAACAGGTTAGTAATGATGAACTATTGCATCTCTCCTGGAGATATCACAAATCAGGGGCCAAAAAGTGTCAAGATTTGTCAAGATTATCTAGCGTGCTTTTTTACTTTACAAATACTTTCCTGTTCTGTTTTACAGATGCGGTTGATATGAAAGGGAGAAGATGGTGAAATAATAAAACACAGGTACAATGTTTCCCCGATCGTCGTTCCTTTATAAATGGACGGTTATCCTACTACTTTTGATTGTGTTGATGTACTCTTTCCTAATTCAAAAAACTACAAGAACTTTCTTACAAAAAAGATTCCCAAGTGAATTGGATACTCAGTTTGTTTTGGAAAAAAGGTCAACTCGTGCAACCAATGAAATTTATCGGACGGCCAACTATGGCGTCACAAATTCGACATTTTCAAGTTTAATGTCGACTTCGCCTCCTATCGTGAATCCACACGACTTTAGCTACATCTTGAACCCAGCAAATATGTGTGCTGGAAAAGATATTTATTTTATTGTGTATATTCATACATCACCGACAAATTTTCGGAAACGCCAAACAATTCGACACACTTGGGGCGATCCACATCTTCTGAAAAAATTCAAGGCTAGGTTAGTGTTTGTTCTAGGAAAAGTTGCAGACGAGAAAGTGATGACGAAAATAAAGATGGAGTACAATCATTATGGGGATATTGTACAGGAAGATTTCATGGACTCCTATAGAAACTTAACCTACAAAGGAATAGCTGCCTTCCGGTGGATAACGCATCATTGTCGAAATGCTACTTTTGCAATAAAATCAGATGATGATATTATGATAAATCTTTTTAAAATTGTTGACGAAATAAAACTCAAAACGGTGAACAAATACGGAACAAAGAACCTCATTTTGTGTAATCAGTGGATACGAATGAAAGTGCTAAGGGACGAGAAAAGTAAATGGTATATTCCAAAAGCTGACTTCGAGCCGGAATTTTTCCCACCGTACTGTTCTGGTTCAGCATTTATACTCAGCGTGGATGTAGTCGAAAAGATGTACAAAGCCTCATTTTACACCCCATTCTTTTGGGTGGACGATTATTACATCACCGGTGCCCTTGCAAAGGCAATCAACATAAAGCAAAAACGTTGGAATGATTTTTATATGCTAAACGGCAAAGTTGTTGCCGAGATATTAAGAAACAAGTCAAAAAACAAGTATGCATTTTTTCATATATCTAAATTAAACTCTATTCATAAAATGTGGCAAAATTTAGTTAGTGGAATGGAGGCTGACTCTAAAAACACAAATGCTACAACACCGAAATCCTGACGAAAATTATCAGGTATTATTGAATATAGACATTTTTGTTAAAAGCGACTTATAATTGTACATTCCCGACTGTTTTTTAATCATTCTAACTTGTTTCCATTTTGTTAAGTCATAATTTATATTTTTGACGATTTTATTTGTAAATTTCCTAAAGTTACGATGTATGGAAGAATTTAGTAAATATGTATCTTGCCTTGTATATGTTACATTTAACCCTAATAAAACTTGACTCTAAGATGAAAGCAAACGCATGATTAATACACATGAGAAAAGAAATCGCTTTTCCAAAAGCGTTTTCATTCCATCTTCAATGGAAAGCAAATTATTAATCCTAGAATTGTTTGCATGTACATTAAAGTTCTTGCTTGAACAAGTTTTTTGAGAAATTATTTTGCGTATCAACAAAATGCAAGAAGGGACTATATTTAACAAAGCCACCAGAAAGGGGTACTTTCGGTGCACTTGCACCCCTTTAAAACAATTCAAACAAAGAATATTCATTATTCATCTATTCTATTCACAGGAAATCAAGCTTATTGGTAATACATGTATATATAAAATTATGAGATGATTTTAACATCTGTCAACATTAGCTAAGCGAATTTCCTACTAAAACTGTTTTAAAAAGGACGATATGATTCATTTTTTGTAGCATATTTCGTTTAACAGTAAAGAAATGACTAGTCATTCAAACAAGTAACCATGGTAACAGAGAACGAATGTTAGTACAAGTGTTTTATATGTGTTTTTAATCCTTGTTGTTTTCATTGTTAAATTTTGCTGTTATTCTTTGAATAAATATGTTGATACTGAACATCTACTGACAGCACAATCAGATTTTAAGTGTATTTTATTCTCACTGTATTTTAATTACATGTGTTATTGTTTGCTTTTTAATTTATTTTACTGATGGCTGCATCAGCCCACATATTTAAGTAAATGAATTCAAAGATATTTACTTTGTACTTTATATAAAAAGGTGCATCCACTGAACACACACGTTACAAATGTTCTAGGTTCCAATTGTGAACACTCCAAATTATGAAGTGAGAAAAGTGAACAATTGTTTTTGTCATTTTGTTTAGGAATTTGACTGCAAAGACGTACGTAATACTGGGGTACAAAGGAAATGATTGGTTTTTTTTTTCGCTTCTTTCTTTCTTTGTTTTAAAAAAAATGAATAAAGACATATGAATGTGAAAAGGGCAGTAAACCATTGATTACTCTCCTTTACTATAAAATTATTGTTGGTGATGAGTTTCCTTGTAATATGTGGAAATTTTCTGTAAATTGCTGTTTATATTCGTTTCATTGGAGTCAAAACAAAGCTAAGCAATAAATTCTAAGTTGCCAGTCCGTTGAATTTTTTCAGTAATACATGTACACAGTTTAATTCAGATATGCAGGAACAATTGTTTTAGATAAATTTCAGTATTTTTGTTTAATGTTGTTGCAAAAGATAGATGTTGTAATTAAAAAAAGAGTGACAAAATATTTCTACATTTAAAGGTTAATTTGTGATTTGTCACTGTTACATGTTTTGTTAAGAAGTAAACAGTGTTTTGAATTAAGAATTAAATACTTTTTAATTTTTTATTGTTTATTGTCTTTTAATTTATCGGTTGTTCACATTTTTTTTTTCAAATTAACATGTAAATATTTGGCTTAGATGTCTTTCCTTAAATTTTATGTGTAATGACTCTCAGCAAAGAGGCATTAACCACTTAAAGTGATCGCCATAAAAGGTCTTAGTATCCTGAAATTCCATTTTGATCTTGTTCCATTTTCAGTCAGAAATTAGTCAGTGTCGCAGAAGAGTAGATGATTCTCCCTGTTTTTCCCTTAATTTACTCCCCTTTCTCGAGTCTACTATTGCCTGAGTGGAAATTCTTGGTTTGGAACTGTTATTCTGGGCTATGACGTGGTGCAAATGACGTGTGCTAGAATGGCAAATCTAGCAAAATGAAACGTAATTACTGTTTCCCAGATTTCTTGACAAAAACACACTTTTGCAGATGTTTGTATTGAAGTCTTCAGATCGAAAAATGTTACACCGGACATTTCAAATGATTTTCCTCTCTTCCTTTAAACCTCGTTGCCAGGAAACACTGGTGAATAGGTTTGATTAATTTCAAATATAGAAACTGCACTGTATATGTACATTAAATTGGTGGTTAACAAAAAACTCCTCCCCATAGGGAACTCGATTATAAAAAGATTATGTAAGAAATAACATGGAAGTGTTATAAAGAATTACATGTAACTCGGTTTAAGGACATTTCGATTATAAAATAATTTGTATCGATGTGTTATAAAATGTGACTACTATTTCTATCATTTAAGTAGTATATCTGAATCTATCAATTAAGTGCCCTCTGTAATTCTATCATTAAGTAAGTACACATGATAAATTTACTAGCAGCTATCTTAAATGAATGTTGTACTTGAGACCCGTTTATCTGGATATATTGCATCTTGAGTGGGTTCTTCAGTATGAGTCCTACAAAACATGTAAGTGTTTTTTTATGTAAAGAATGCGAGCACATGAACATACTTAAGCATATTTTGAAAGGCGAGAAGATCAACAGAAGACCATAAAATGGGTTGCACAGAAGGATGCTACTTCTAAAATGTAAATAAAAGAACCCGATTGTCTTACCTCAGATTTCCCCTAAGACCTAATACATTAATTGTTTTGCTAAAGATTGATATGATATACTCATCCCTTTGTCAGTTTATCTTTGATAAATTCTATCGAAAGCACAATTCTCGATTGAGATAATAAATTAAAAATGATTTCTCTTATATACTGAAGCACCTCCCTTGTGCCAAGTCCAGATTCTAAACTTTAAGATGCTTGACCGTTTTTTGATGCTTTAGCAAATGGCAGAAGTATGAACTCAGCACAGAATGTTATCAGTCCTTTTTATTTCTTTTATCAAAGCAAGAAGAAAACCGATCATTCTTTATTACTTGTGATGTCACTTGTATTGGTTTTTGGCTGAGAGGATGTTTAAAATTAAAGTTATTGAACATTTAAGATTTAGTAGTGCTAGATCCATAGTCCACATGGATTTGTTGAGTTGGAGCCCAAAAACTTACCGAGTTTCTATAGCGAATTAAGGCTTAACCAAAGTTGATTGAACTAAGTACTTAGAATTTTAGACTATAGACACTTGATGATGCACCTAGAATTTTGAGTTTTCACCGACACTTATCCATAGGGCCAGATTACTGAGTCCATTTCTCATCGAATGAACCTTTTGATGTTGTGTCTCAATCTTGAGATAAGAAAGCGCTGTGGACAAAAAAAAAATTGTATGTGCATAGAATTGCAAATGTGACATTTGTAAAGGAAAGGTCAGTGGGCCTTGTCGATTTACTCCAGGATCATGCAGATTTTAGCAACAAATTTCTTAAACATGAACCACGTTTTGAAACATTTTTGTCAGTTTTGAATATTTTAAATAATCCAGACAACCATAATGAAGTTGAATATCATATTTATATTGAATTCCGAAACTTCATAAAAATATTTACAAACAAATATACATAGCGGGTTCTAATAAATGTTCTACCAAGTCTCTTTCTTTATTCCTCACTAAAATATTAACAGCAGTGAAGGAGAAACTTCAGGAGTACTGTGCAACAATATATTCGAGAAGTGGTGTAAATCAGATGTGGATACTTGAAAATTCCAAGGAACTTTTGGAAAATTTGAAATCAAAATTTTTTTACCAAAATCAGTATCATAAAAACTTACGACTTAATTCAACTGTGTATACAACCATTCCCCATGACAAATTAAAGTCCAGGCTTTTTGAAATCATTGACAGCTGCTTTTTCAATAAAAATGGAACTCGTAAATTCAGTTACCTTGTCACTGGTTATTTGCAAAATATTTCGTTTAAAAAACATTCTGATTGTACACACAAGTACTCTGAAGTTGACATTAAAAGATGCTTGAGTTTCTGATTAACAATATTTATGTGATTTTTGGAGACCAGGTTTTCCAACAATCTTTTGGAATTCCCATGGGTACCAATTACCCCCGTTGTTAGCAGACCCATTTTGTATTCATATGAAGTAGAATTTATACAAACTCTTATAAATGAGAAAAAGAAATATCTTGCCGTGGCCTTCAACTCGACATTTAGATATATCAACGATGTCGTCGACAACAGTTATTTCCATTCATATGTTGACACGACATATCTCAGTGAGCTTGAAATAAAAGATACCACAGAATCTGACACATCTGTTTCAGATTGGGATATTTTACTTAAAAAAAGACGTTAATGGTATTCTAACAACAAAATTTTATGATAAATGTGATGACTTTAACTTTTCAATCGTCAACTTCCCTTACTTCTGCAGCAATATATCCTTATCACCTGCATACGGGGTGTATATCTCTCAGTTGATTCGATACGCACGAGCATGCTCTACGTATGAACAAATTCTAAATCGAGGTATAAGTTACTGACAAACAAGTTGATGAAACAAGAATATCAACAGTCTCGTTTAACGTCATCATCTCGTAAGTTCTATGGTCGATACAATGACCTTGTCAGCAAATGCAATCTATCATTAAGTCATATGCTGACTGACGTTTTTCATACTAATTGTTAGGCCATTATTTACACACTGAATTGTCGACGGATTTTTCCATTATTTCTCGATCAAGACAAGGAGCACACGGCGGGTGTGACCAGTCGGCAGGGGATGCTCACTCCTCCATGGTATCTGGTCCCACCTATGATGTTTTTGGAGGTCCGTGTTTGCTCTGCTCCCGATTTGTATTGTTTTAATGGATTTTGAGCTTGAATACTGTTCATTATCTTTATATTTCATTAATAAGCTTCCAATATTTCCAGTTTTAAAATGACTAGGACGACAAATTTATGCCCCCTCCTGACATTGACCTTTTCAACATGGCTATGAATAAAAAGCAGAATAATACATTATAACTTGTCAAAAATATCGATTTTTTATCATTTCTCTGTTATGTAATCATGTATCTGATGACCTTCACCTCATCAAAATAACATTATGTCATACCTCGTGTAGATATCTCTGTCTTTTAAGCAAGGTAATTGAATTTTACAATGTATATCTTGTGATTGGAAGAAAATCAAGCAAATTTTTCTTTTGCTACGGAATCCAGGATAAAAAAAATATTAATACAGATTTAGCACATAAATGTAAGAACAATATGTAGACCCGCGGCTTAATTTAGACCGGTAGCATAAGCATGGACCCAAGAAACATGAATTAATTTCGCATTTTTGAAGTTTCGACACAAACTAGTCCACCCTGGATTTAAACTCCTTAAATTTAAGAGAAATCTTAATACACATTGCATAACGAATTCATGTAAATAGATTTCCTATTAGTAGGAATGTGTTTTAACTAATCCCTATTTCTTGAAAGAAGGGATTTTGGTTAATATATAATTATGCAAACATTTCATTGCCATTATAAAAAGACTTTTTGATATATAAAAGATATATGACTTAACACTACCCCTGCATATAAATCGATATGAAATTCATAATTTGAGAAAGGCACATTGTTCAATTAATCATACAGGTAGAGGCAATCTTATATGTAATTAAAGGCAATCGTCAAATAACCTAGATTCACTCATGAAGTATGCTCAATTTGTACCCATGTCAGTCTCGGCCTTTCCTGTAGAGGATCTGAAATAAATAGAGGTATTCTTTAGAATAACAATGTAAACTATTTCTGCTGAAACTCTTTTAGTAGAAAAATCTCGTGCAGTTTCAATACATAATACCGTCCACCTCAGGGTTTGAAACATGTTACTTCGGTACAAGAATTTTAAAAATCTTCAAGATAAATACAATCTTTATTTACCTCAGGTAAAACAAAATGAAAGGAATGAATAATTTTGAATTTTGTTAGCATCACTCAGGTCCACAAAATTCAAAATGCACAATTTGTGATCGCTTTTCTTAGAAGATGCTTTCTGATTAAAATTTGATAAAAAAAAAAAAAAAACTGTTCCAGAGTTTCTGAGAAAAAGTTGAATACTAGTTTATTGACAAGTTTATGAATGACACATGAATGACTAAAGCGATCTTAACCTAAAATACATTCAGATTCTATTCTTTATTTGGCATAAACAGGTGAACCCTCATCAATACTTGTGGTCATCCTATTGAATCTTTACAACGTGTCTTTGAATCGAGATGATTTATAATTCAGATATCATCGCCCGGTGACCTGGATTCCACGGATTTGACTTTGAATCAAGATCATGGCACACTTTAGGTAACAGATAATGCCACTGAGAAGTTTGAATTACTCAGAAAAGTGAATTTTAAAAAGTT